CAGTAGTAAAAATACGACAATCATTTGCTAATCCTTCCCATCCGGCATACACAAGAGTGAACTTCATGTCAAAGGAACATGCACACATGACATTTTGGGTAGTAATTTGTTTCCTGCCTCTAAATGGTATTTACTTATTCTCAGGTAACGTAGCACTTACGTGAGTGTCATCTATTGCGTCAATACAATCCTAATATTTAAAATGAGATATTAAAATGGAAAATAATTAAATAAAAATCTGAAAAAAAATACTTAAATCCTTAAGAAAAACTTACCTTGAAGTATGGGAAATGTTTAGGATTGTCCCTAATTTCCTTTGGAACCATATGTAAAGGAGGTGGTTTGATTATCTCGCGTGCTAATTGAAGCATCGCGTTCAACACTTTGCTGAAATACTTGCTAATTGTTTGCCCTGAGTGCTGAAATATCTCACAAACATTCTTATTTGAACTCCCATGTCCAATCAAGTACAAAACAAATTCCTATTTGTTGATCAACCCTAATATATCTACTGTCTGCTAACTAGCCTTTTTGTGTCATCAACATACAAAGTTTGTTGAACACAAATCTCTCCTTTCTAAATGCCTCATATATTCTATCTGAGTGGCCAGATCGAAGTTCCGCAACCTATTCCACACCTATCAGGCTACTATCTCTAATGGGTTCTTTGGTATATATTGAATTATTAATAATAATATTCAACAAGTTTGATATAACAAGATCTTCATATATTGATTCGTCATCATTATGAGGTTCAAAAAGTTGCCCACAAGTCAGACAAACAGGAGAATCAGCCATAAAAATACTGCATCAATAGATATTGTCATCATTAAATTCATGCTAACATATTTCAAAAAATAAATCACATTAACAAAAAAAAATATCACACATCATAGTAATACGAAAAATGAAAATTTTAAAAGTATCCTCATCATAGTTATACAAAAAATGAAAATTAAAAAAGTATCCAAAACATAGTCATACGAAAAAAAATAATTAAAATATGGTCTTTAACGCTCTTAAACAAGACAAAATTAAAAAGTTGCAACACAATTTCATTCATTTAAAAATTTATAGGAGTGAAGCTCTCCTCTCAGGTGGAGCCTTTATAAAGGCTACTCTCCATGCTTGGCTCTCAACCACTCGATCAACTGCTTCACGGTACACTTAATTCTCCAATCCTATCATGTCATTCAATACATCCATTGCAGCCTCAACTGAGTAAGGATCCTCATTCACTTTTGTAGTAGCAGAATTAGCATAATTATGGTGGCATTGGTTTTGTCTAATCTTAACCAGATCCTGAATGGCTTGACATGCCATTGCAATAACTGTATTCCCACTACTTCTTTTACGCTTTGCATTTGGGGTCCTATCTTGTCTATGTTGTGCAGGACTGGGTGTCTCAACAGGATCAAATGCAAATAAATCTTCATTAAGCATATGCTCATCTTTTTTATATTCTTGTGTATGTAGTACATGACTAGGCGTCTCAACAATACTGTCAATATTATCATCATCTCCATCTGAAATTTGGTGTACCTCAGCATTTCATATGCCATTATCTCCACTTGCATAAACATCCCCAAATATCTCAACTAACTCTTCCCAACAAGGAAGGCCATTCTTTCGAAATTTCTCCCATTGGGGATTGTCCTGTACAAAAGATTTACCTAATTATGTTTAAAAAAATCAACAAATTTATAAGAAATAATAGGGAACACTATGTTAAAAATTACCTTAATGTGGATATCCCATAAAGATGCGTCCTCGGTTGTAGCCATTGTTTTTAAAAACTAGTGTAAAAACGTAAAAACTTACATTTTTACATTTTTAATAGAGTGATGCGTGTTAAAACTTAAGTAAAAATTGTCCTTGGTAAAAATGCAGCGTAAAAACCGTAAAAACTTACGTTTTTACCGTTTTGATCGTTTTTACATAAAACTAAAAATTTAATAAAAAAAGATTTACATAAAAAAATTAAAAAAAAACCTAATTTTCGTTTTCCCCAAATCATATTCACAATATCTTAATATCTTTTTGTTTGGATATATTTTTTTTATAATTATGTCTTATAAAACTACAATTCTATTATAAATTATGCTATGAGAATCGTTTTGTGTTTTTAGATCATTGTGTGCATTGAAAGAAGTGGAATTATATCTGATGAGCGATGATCCAAATTCGGCAAAGTGTATAAAGCAGTTAAAGCATATTGGTTATCCATTACTTGTTAATTATCACTTTTTATAATTTTGATACTTGGTTATGAAAAATAATTTTCCGTTTTAGATAGATAAGTGACTCAACACACATGTTCATTATGTGATATTTTTTTTACATACATATATATAATTTTGTATCTTAACCTTAAGTGATAGAAAGTAGAAACTTTACGTTTTGTGTCGTTTCTACGTTTTACAAAACGTTTCAACCACCCCTTTTCATTTCTATGTAGAAACTCGAGTTTAACAACATTGGTTGTAGCAGTTTTCAAAACAGTGTTCCAACCAAAACCAGATATGCTTATGAAACTTGAATATTCTTGTCTAAGTTTATTCATCTTGTTTTTCAGTTGATTTAGTGTGTAATGAAGCCCTATTTGTTTTGTGAATTCATCTTTAATGCTTTTCCATGCTTTCTTACTGAAGGTAGAGGTAGAGGTTGTTCTATTCCCTTTTTTTACTTCCTCAACCAGCAAATTAACAAAAAGATATGTGTTTTTATCAGTCCATTTTGCTACGAACCCTTCGGATGCCATACTCCTTGCTGATAACATGTTAGAAAATAAACCATAACACCAAAATTTAGAAATGCGCATACTCAGCCCGATGAATAACGGTCTGATCAAACTATGAGGTTTATGTGTAATCTCTCAAGCAATCAGGTAACCAGTCATACCCCCACAGTCACAATGCATCAAATTAACAATTCACAAGCTCAATTGCAAAAGAATTCAATCACAAGGAAAAAGCACCAATTTAAAGAAGGAATCAACATCTGCAGCTTTGGAATTACGATGGGAAAATGTCAGAAAGCATATACGCTTTGAGGGTGATTATGTTATTTTGCATTTTTTTTTCTTTATATTATCTGCCATTATTTATTAAAATCCTAAACTCATTCGCCTTCCACCTTCCTCATCATTGATTACCCTTGAGTAAAAGGTAAATTCTTGGTTGGTAACGGGAGAAAAAGAGAACCCAAAGTTTATTGACTTGAGAGGTGTCGGTGGTCACAGAAAAAGAAAAGAAAAAGGGAGTCACTTTGTAATTGTATATGGCAACGCCTCATGAGTCATGACACAAAACAGAGCCAAAGGGAAACGTACGTTAACTTTTTGTGTCCTGCTTCATTTTAGTTCTTTTTTCCGGATAGTTTAGTATCATTTCCAAAATAAAATTGATATTAACGATCAGTTCCATGTAAGCAAAGCATGTATGTTTGAGAGAGCTTTAGTGGATAATAATTTGGTGCTTGCTAGCTGTTTTGGACCGGCTACCCTGTGGGTTGGCTATTAAGTTTTATGTAAGAAGTCACTTTCCTACATTTCTAATAAAAGACTTTTAGTTATTATTGTTAAGGATAACACTTCCCTGCATCAAAAGAGCTTACGTATTATGTATAATGTATAGAAATATCACCAAAGTCATTATACCCTTAGATAAGCACAAATATAATAAGAAATAAAAGACAAAGGTTTTAAAGATTGAGATTTTAAAGAAGCTGGAGTGTATAAGCTGGAGTGTCTAGTTATACAATCGAGTTTTAGCAATGCATGACCATCCACTGATCTGGAAGAAATAAAACGAAATTCCTGGATGTTTATAATAGTGTTTTAAAACTCGGACCGGTTATTGAACCGGTCGAGATATTGGATCACGGGTTCAACTAGGTTGAACCGGATATACTGTTCACATATTAAAAATATAAAAAATATTACTTATATTAATAAAAATTCACATAAGAAAACTATCAATGAGCTTCAAAAAATAAATTGATTTTCAATGATAGCAAATATTATATACTTCTAAGCTTCTAGCTCTAGACCATATCCTAATATTGGATTAAAATTGCAATATAAGTTAAATGCACTTTTTGTGCTTGACATGATACAGATAAATTAAATCATGATAACAAATAGTATGCATGAAATATACACTAAGAAAAAAGTGTCACCGTTATCATGATAACAAATAGTATGCATGAAATATACACTAAAAAAAGTGTCTACCGTTGAGATGAGATCATGAGACCATCAGTGTTTATCACCACTTAACTTCATGAGATCATTATAAGATGCAACTAAATTACATAAACGAATTGCACTAATCTAAAATACCTTATTATTTTCACCTTACTTTTAATCATATTCATCGTAAAATATGAATATGATTTAATTCAAGAATTCTTATCAACAACAAAAAATTAGCAAAAAAAAAGGAATAACTGGTCTAACCCGGGTCATCGGGTTTCGGCCGGGTCAACCGATCCAATCCGGGTTGACTGCAAAAGCGGTCCAACTACCCGCTTGGACCAGGGAACCCACCGGGTCACCGAGTCCCGGATCGACCCGACCGAGTTTTAAAACACTGGTTTATAAGATAATAATATTGTGTCAAGTACTCACCTATCCAGAATTACTTCATGTTAGACAATGTAAATAAGAAATATTATCCTGAATTGAAAAAGCTACACTTCAATTCCTTAGAAGAAGAAATCAATTGAGATTTCAGAATTTGTTCATTTATTTTGATGATATGCTTAGAAGGCAACGTCTAAATGCACACAGAACAATCTATTTATACATAATGAAGCAAGAAAAAAAAGTACTTTCAGGTTCCTTTTTCCCAAGTCTCGTTCCATGTCCCTCTATTTAAAACCTGATAACTTGAGAAGAATATACTTCTCTCTAGTAATTTATAATAACATCTCTCTTAGTTATCAATTTGTTAAGTACTAGAGAGACAAGATCTTCAATGTCATTTGTAATGAAGTGCTTACATGCTCTCAGATGAAGAAAAAGGGCTATGGCCAAAGCCAAATGCTTTGATATGGTCTTTAAGTGACCTCTTATGCTTGAAGTCTGAACCACAAACACATAGCCAGCGCTTGCCACAGTTTTTCTCATGGGTTCGCCAATCACCCTTGACAGCCAAAGGCTTCCCACACTTGCGACATGTAAAGGGTTTCGCACCATGCTTCCTCTTGTAGTGTGTTTGCAGTGTCCTAAAATCCTTCAAAGGCTTGGCTCTTGGGTGCTCAATGTTGTTCTTGCATCCTATTGAGCAACAATAGCATGGAATGTCTAACAAGGGTCGTGGATGAGTTCGTTTCAGTGAGTCTGGTCCTCTACGATACTGTGATCCATGTCCCCACATATGCATCTGCCACAAAGTTAACCCTGAGCTCAGTAACATTTTATATAGACTAAGACTATAGGATTGTTGAGAAGACTACACTTAAAGATGTGTATATCACTCAAAATCTCAATAATTGAACGTGAAAAACTTCAGTTTAGAGATTTCTGGCTAAGTGCCAATGTGTACCAGAGGTTCTGATGAATGAATTAAAATAAGAAAGAACTGCACCTGAAGGTTGTTGTAACGATTAAAGGTTTTGAGGCAGACAGGACAAGAGAAATGGCTGAATCCAATGAGGATCTGCTCTTGAGTTGGTATCCAGTAATTGTGAGGAACTTGAGGTGCTGCATTCACAAATCCATTATTATTGGTGGAGCCACTTGAATTGTCAGGGAGGCCTATGTGTAAGGCCACTGTGACATCTTCTGCTTGAGTACTATGGCATGGTTTTGGATTTTGGTTTGTTAGTAAACTTTCTTGTGGTGCTGAACCAAGGAAGCTGCTTAGCAGAGGTAGAGCCTGAAGCTGATTTTGATTCATGTCAAGTTAAAGAATGATATTATTGATATAATTTGCATGTGAATGAGGCAGGGTATAATAGCTACATATATAATTTATAATATACATCCGAGGGTCCATGGTTTCGTTTTCTTTTTCTCTTTTTTTTTTTTTTTTTTTTTTTTTGGTAATGAAAAATTATCAGGGCAATGCAAGTTAGATTTTATCGGATTTTGGGACTTCAATAACGACTAGAGCCATAATAGATAAATTGGCAGCTAATAGAACTTGGAAAAGAGGAGTAGTGAAAGAAATGGTGTGATAGGTGGCCGGAGAATATTACAGTTGAATGAAAAGAGCCTTTGTTGAGGGGGTCATAATTTTCTCCTGTATGTCTACTTTGCCTATTTTTGGCTTAGATAAGATATACCTTAAATTCTGTGGCCCATGGCCCTCAAATGTAGAAAGAATTGCATAGCAGTGGGTTTAAAATCGAGGGCAACGCATTTTGCACTGTCAGACACATTCAAAAATCCTTCATAGGCTTAGCTCTTTATTAACTTAACACTTAAATCAAACTCTAACCACTTTTTACGGTGATTTTCGTGCACATAACTTTGAAGATTTAACTAATGAGGTTATTATTAAATAATTAGAGTTCTTATCAACTGCATCTGTAATTCACATGTAACAATTCTCCTATTAGCCAAGATTCACAACCAGTGACGGTAGAAGAATATAGGTTTATGGAGGCAAAATCGGCATACCAAGAATTGTTAGACAATGACGGGCCATAAAATATTATATTTATATGACATAATACTATTAATAGTAATATATATAAAAATTATAGTTGTTTTTTATTTTAAGTATTATACAAGTTTCTCAACTACAATATTTAGTGACTCGATAACATTAAAAGGAAAAACAACAAAATTAGCAGAGCAATAATACAAACTACATATGTTATAACCATATAAGCTCGAAAACTTGCGGGTAGGAAAGTAAATGGGCTAGGCCGGCCTATAGGGGTCTACGACATAATTTATATTAGACCAGACTTGGCCTATTATAAATTGTAAAATAGAACATGCCTAAGCTTTTAAAAAACCTATTTAGAAAACAGGCTATAGGCTTTTTTTATACATGTCAGGCCTATAAGCCTAAAGACCGGCCTATATCATGTTATTTATTTAAAATATAATAAATAAAATTATTATTTTAATAATTTTGAATAATAAAATAATATTATTTTAGTTATTCTTTTAATTGCTGAATGTTTAATAAGTTTAAATAGACTAACAAGCTTAGGTCAAGGCTTTTATTTTTTAAATATAGGTCAGGTCAGACTTGTAAATATTTGGAGCCTACACAGGCTAATAGGTCAGGCCGTACCCAATATTTTTTATACAGATCTGACATATTTAAGCCAAAGCCTAACCTATTTACATTCCTACGGGGACGCTTTCCCCTACTCTCTTAAACTTAGGCCCATCCCCCCATTCATAACCACTCATTAAATCAAGTATTTTCTTTTAATTTTAAGAAATTTTGTTCATGCATCCTTGTCATCACGAAGTTTAAAGTTAAGTTTTACAAAAAAGAAAACCAAAGAAAATGGGAACAATGATTAAAATGTCTTTTTTTGGCAAAAAAATTTATCCAAATGTCACGCGAACAGTACTTTTTACCAGAATGTCACGTGGGTGTAATTCGCTAAGCGAATTACATTCGCCAATAATTTTATGACACGTGACACACTTTTGCAGGAAAAAATTGACGTGTCATAATTCGCTACTAGTGGTAGCGAATTTGGTCTTCAATATGGCCACGTGTCACGAAATCATTGGCCACGAAATTCGCTATCAGTGGTAGCAAATTATGACACGTGGCAGTATGATAAAAAATACTATTAGCGTGGTATTTAGATAAAAAATTTAACAAAAAATGACACTTTGATCACTGTTCCAAAAAAATGTGCTAAAAGTGCAAATAAAACAGTATACATAGAAGGGAAACTAACCCTGAGCTTTACCATCTGAGCTAAGTAGGGGTGGTAAACAAGTCAGGGGCCTTTCAGGGGCCATTGGCTCGGCTCGTAAAGGCCTGAGCTCGTTTAATAAAAGCTCGTGTTGGAACCAGGCTTGGACTTGTATAAAAGCTCGTTTAATAAAAAGGCCTCAGGCTCTAATTCAGAAGCTCGGCCTTAGAGCCTCCCAGGCTAGCCTAGTATATAAATATTTATTTATACTTTTTATACTACTTGTAATAACTCTCTCTCATCAATTTATTTCACCCCATTTTATTGGTTTAACAGACTTTTTGAATGATTTTGTTCTATATTATGCTATTTGGATATATATTGAATTTATGTATATTTATGGAATTACTAGTGATGTTCTATATTATCCTTCATCCTCCTTCACACAAACAAACCCACAAAAACTCATTCGTTCCACTGTGCACTGCTCGTTTGTGTCAATTTATTTTTTATTTTATTTATTTTATTTTTATTTTTGTTGGCACTTTTTTTATAATGGGCTAAGATAATATAACATGTTATCTACCTTCTCTCACTTTAATTTTATTTATTTATTGTAGACTTTGTAAATTATTGCTGCAAATTGGAAGCTAAGGTTTCTATCTGGAAATTGATTTTTTGTGAAATTCTGTTCTCTTATTTTTATTCTTTAACATGCTAACAGGCTAAGACAGGCTTCACACAGGCTTTTATTTTTTGTAAATAAACCAGGCAACAGGCCAATATTATATTCGTAACAGGTAACAGGCTAAGGCCAGTCGGACACGTTTAAATATAGGCTTGGCCCGTTAAGATCAAAGCTCGGCTCGGCTTGGCCCGTTAACACCCGTAGAGCTAAGCATATTTTGTTCTCTTGTTTATTTTTTTCGTTTTCACTTTATTCTTTTACAATTTTTTGGCAATTTATAGTCTCTCCCCATTCAAAGTTTGTCTCAATTTAATGCTTTCGAGATCAAAATTTACCTTAAGAGGAAATACATTGATTTTCTTCTTCTTCTTTTGTTTGACACAACACAACAGCCACTCGGACAATGTAGTAAATTTCCATTAGTGAAGAATTAAATTAATTTTTTTTGAAAATAACTAAATCAAAGAAAGCAATGAGGGATTATATTATAATAGTTTCGATCTATTAAATAATTTGAAATATTATTTAATAGAAAATTTCATAAATAAAGCCAGAGAAATTATTTTCTCCTTTTACATGAAAAAATTTCATTTTCCTATAGATACAATAAGAATTGGGTCCCACTTGAATTTATTTTTCTCCACTTTCAATGGATCCCACTTATATTATGAACCTGTATGAACAAGAAATTTTCTCTTCCTCAAAAGAAATATCAAACCTTCTAACCCTTTCTTTTTAAAACTAAAAATAGGATCCCTAAATTACCAACGTACAGTTGTCTAGGAGTGTTTAAAGGGTGGAATTGATACAATAAACTCAAAAATTCAGTCCAACCCAATTGAATAGGCTCATGTTAGTTTGGGCAATCCGGTCATAATCGATCTCTATTGATTCATTTTACGTGTTCATTTTTCTGAATCTAAGACTTAATCACCTTAACTGACTTGTAAACAAAACCAAAGTTATTTGATAATTTTTGTGTGTTATGCCCTATGTTGTGCGTTTTGACCTTAAACTCTCATGTTTAGGTCACTTGTATCTCCCACATTTGAACAAGCTGAGCATGATAGTTCTTCGATCTTATCTGGTAAGAGCACACGTTCTATATCTCTTCTTCTTCTTGCACTGATTTTAAAACCTCATGGATTTTGGATTCTGGTGCAACTGATCATATGGCTTGTCGTACTGAGTTATTTTGTTCTTATCATCCTACTGTTGGTAGTCATACTATATCCGTAGCTGATGGATCCCATAAATCAGTTATTGGTTCTGGTAACATTCAAATTCAACCTTCCTTGTTTCTTAAAAATGTTCTTTATGTTCCTCAGCTTTCTACTAATCTTATCTCCACTCAAAAACTTACAACTGATTTGAATTGTTCTATCACATTTTTTCCTTCTCATTGTCTTATTCAGGATCTTACCACGAAGAAGACAATTGGAGTTGCTAATGAACAGGATGGGTTGTATCATCTCCTTCCAGACCATGCTAGCAAAAATCAGTTATTAATGACACGTCATCCTTCTATTGCAGAGTCTATGATTTGGCTCCATCACAAGCGTCTCGGGCATCCACCATTTAGTCTTTTGAAGTCTATGTTCCCCTCTCTGTTTCTCAATAAGTCGGTTGAGACCTTTCATTGTGATGTTTGTGAATTTGCAAAACACCATCGAGTGTCATTTCCTTCTAGCACTATTAAAAGCAGAGAACCTTTTTCTCTTATCCATTCTGATGTTTGGGGCCCTTCTAAAGTGCACAGTGTTTCAGGTGCTAGGTGGTTTGTTTCTTTTATTGACGATTGTACTCGGATAACATGGATATACTTGATGAAAGACAAGTCTGAAGTACCAGAGATATTTATTCGGTTTCATCACATGGTTGAGACTCAGTTTGGTAAGGGTATTAAAAGACTCAGATCTGATAATGGTACTGAGTACGTCAATCAACGCCTGTCACAATTCATTTCAGACAGAGGTATGATTCATGAGCTCACATGTGTTGATACCCCTCAACAAAACGGGGTTGCTGAAAGAAAAAATCGTCACCTTCTTGAAGTTGCTAGAGCACTACTTTTTCAGACATCTGTTCCTAGTTCTTATTGGGGAGAAGCAGTATTAGCTGCAACTTTTTTGATCAACCGTTTACCTTCACGGGTCCTTAACAATATCAGTCCTATTCATTCCATGACTTCCTTCTTTCCATCTGTTCCCATATTGCAGAGCCTTCCACCAAGAGTGTTTGGATGTGTTGCCTTTGTCCATGTTCATAAACAACATCGGAGTAAGTTGGATCCTAGGGCTCTTAAGTGTGTCTTCCTTGGTTATAACCCTTATAAAAAAGGGTACAAGTGTTATCATCCACCAAGTCGGAAATTTTTTGTTTCTATGGATGTCACCTTTCAAGAATCTGAA